CCATACTTTGACTGTCAGTACATTTTACCAACAATTAGGTATTTATTAAATATTATGCAAAATGCAACGTTAGCACTTTGACACTTGTACCTAGTATGCATTTGACATTCCCTGCTACAATTTGCGCATTCCACACAAAATAATGCATTTTTGTTTTTTCGTTTTTAATTTGATTTCAGTTTCACAACTTTTCGCGAAAAATCCATAAATAGTTCGTCTAATACGTTTCATATTTAGTGGGCACCGCTCGCCAAATTTGCATAACCTAGTTACTTGTCCTTTAATAGAAACTACTCGCTAATGTTCCATTACTTTTTTACCTAAATATCCAAATATTTGATAAATTGTTTGTATGCCATAAATTCTTGCAATACTGTTCATATAACTCCCATCCTTCAAGTACAATTTTGTGCGTATCCTGTAGATTTCTTAACTTTTGCTAACTGCATTTTCTTATGCGCTTACATATATTTATTTATGTATGTATGTATGTATGTTTATTAACTTTTTCAACTTTTCAAGGTACTAAGTTGCAATAATACTTGGAAAAAAATATAAAAAAGCCATTTTTGGAGTATTATTATTTTTTAAAGTAAGGACTCAGCAAATTTGCTGTCACCTTTTTCAAACACTAAAAGAAATAGTGTGTTGCATTAGACTGTTCGGTAATCACTGCACGGTCTGCAACACTGTTCGAAAGTCGTAAAGTCAAAGCAGAGATCGCTAAATCGCCAAAGTGAAGTTACAAAATGTCCGCCTGAAGGGGTTACATGGGTATACGGGTACTAAAAAATCTATTTTTTTTATTGCCTTATTAAATGCTACAACACCTCTGGAACATTGTTCTACATTTTCTAGTTGATCCGACTAATAGTTTCGGAGATACAGCCTTGAGCATTTGTATATTCGAAGCTGGCTAGGCTAAGTGAGCCGTCTTTAAACGTGTTTTTCACGAAACTGTCTTTTTGAAGTCGGTTCGGCAAGAATTCTCGAGAACCACTCAACCTGTCTTCATGAAATTTTACATACTCTTTAAAATACGATTCTTAAAGGCTTGGACGAAGTATTTTTTTCGACTACAACTCTTTGAAAAAAATTTCACGATATTTTTATTGTAAAAATTGTTTTTATAGCAAAAATTCAATTTTCAGATTTTTCTTCCTTCGTCCAAGTTCTATGTATTAACTAAAATACAGATTTTTTTCACTGTAGATGATCCTGTAAGCAGTCACCTTGCCAACGCGGTTGTATCTTTGTTCCGAGGGGACACCGGTAATGGCGTCGCAAGGGCGGAGTTTACAATTGTTTTTTTTTTTCAAAAATTGCAGAATTTCTTTGTTAATATTGTAAATTTGTAACAATGAAAATTTCTAAAAAAATATTTTATTTTTTATATGAGAAAAAATTGTTGAAAAAAGGCTGCTTTTTATTCAAGGAAACCCATGTAAACCTTTTACCACATCAAATTTAAATATAAAACTTAAATTCAAAATTTAACTTAAAATTTTACAGAAATCTCACTCCGAACATCCTACATTATTCCAAAATGACTTCTTACAACAAATTTATTTAATCTCTTCGACGCTGTTAGTCAAACAACACAAAAAAAAATAATTCTGAACAGAAATTTGTACTTAAGTGCCAATTCCATTTTAGCTGACAGCTATTGCCATTTACGCATTGAGACATTTGTATGCGTGTTAAATTTGCTCTTCAGTGCAAATTGTTCATGTTTTTTTTTTAGGGAAATATATAAAAATGTGTGACAGTTTATTAATTGATTTAAAAATCGAAATTTACTCATTCATTTTGAAGCTGGTGGACACACCTATAATGAAATGCAACATTAAAAATGTATCAAAATTAGCACATAAAGATATTTAAGTTTTACCTAAGTATGTATGTATGTATTAAAATATAGGCAAATACTACATTAAGTATATTTGTAGTCATAAATCGGTATTTATAATATGCATTATTATGTGTTACTTAATAATTTAGTTTGTATTTGTGTATACTTTCTTTATTCCGTATAAAAAAGATATTTAACTTACATTGTTTTCTGTTATTATTATTTTTTTTTTTTTTTTAATATTTTAAGTCTCTTGGGAATATACTCATTTTTTTTTTATTATTTTTGGGTTTACTAACCAATAAAATGGATATTTTAAGCTAATATTTTTATTTGATTTCCCTTAATTTTTATACTTTAATGCATTGTTATATAAAAAAATAAATTTAGTTAGAAATAACAAAGTTAGTTAATGTTGCTTAAGTTTTTCGCATTTATGCATATATTCTTAGTACTTTTTATATTTGCACACAAACGCTTTTATATTTTTTTCTTTGTGTATGTATGTATGCATTTGAGTAAAGTTCTTTAGTTAGTGGGTAAATACTTGATTTAACGTATTCATGCCTTCCATTCTGATTAAAAATTGTCGCTATCATTTACCTATCGTTACTTATAACTGTTCTTCAAAAAAAAATATATTTTTTAATGCTAAACAAGCAATCGTAAAATATTTACTACTTTAGTGTATAGCAACTATTGCAAAAATTGGAAAATCTTTATTAAAACAACGACACTTTCGACTTTAAACTTCATGCAACCAATGTTTAACTTTTTTTATTGCTTTCTTGTAGAAAAATGTCTCTAATGATTTGTAAGAGATTTTCAAAACATCGCGAGGAACTCTGATTACTCGGTTTAATCCTCAACAAAGAATTATTATCAAGTAGTCGAGATTTTTTCATTACTATTTTGAGTTAACAGCTAATTGTGACATATTTTTTACCGTTAGGGTAAAAGCAGAACAGTGAATTATTAGGTGGTTATATACAGTTAGAATTTTCAAAAAAAAAAAGGAAGATTTTTTATGTTATTTTGTTAATGTACATACATATATTTAAGAATACACATAGAAATTTCATAACGTTCCCGTGAATATTTTCGAAGTTTTTTTTATTCGAAGTAACACGCAAATTTGAAAAAGTGTTTCAGAGCACCAAACTTTAAACGCATTTTTCTCAAACACCTATTTCCAAAGTTGGGGACCAAACGTTACCCGAAAACTGCGTAACTGATTAGTCTCAATTTTTAACACGAGTTTCTCAAATATATTTTTAGTAATTAAACGAAGATTTTTTCGCATCTATAAATATATATATTTTTTATAATCAATTTAAGGCCAAAAGTTTGGTCTAAAATCGTGTTTTTTTTTTTTTTTTTTTTTTTTAACCTTTTTTGAGTCAAACAATTTTTTTTTTTTTTTTCCTTTCATTTGCTTTACCAGATTTCACATTATTTCAATGAAATCTATTTGGTTTTTTTTAATTTCAGAGTATCCCGTTCAGAGATATAGTGGTCAACGCAAAACGTCTTTTTTTAGAGGAGCTCCCGGAGATGAGCAGTAGTTCCTTTCCAAAAAATTTTTTTACTAATACTAAACTGTAAAATATAGTTAAAAAAAAATAACTTAATATGTGTACAAATATTTGAATCAATAAATTTAATGACTTTCTCAGGAAAAATTTTGAAAAAATATCGTTTTTTCGACCTTCTATCTAGTTACACAGAATAAAATATGTATAAATTTTCTCTTTAACACTGCGTTTACAGTAGTTTTTTTTATTTCAAAAATCACCTTTCAAAAACATTTTTTAAATTCTCAAAATTTTTAAAAAATTTTTTTTTAAATGTGACAAATCAAAGCTAGCAATCATAAAATTTCAACAAAATAGGTTGCATGTAGTTAAAGTAAGCGTAATAACTCTTAAAAGCTCCATTATAATATTAAACTTAATTTAAAATTTTATTAAGAGCAGTTCGCGCATTATTATGGCATTTGAAACCACGATCCATAATTAATATTTAAAAAAAAAGGTTATAAAAAGTTTAACGCTCAAGAAGTGCCTTCGAAATCAGCAAGGTACTAATAATACAGTTATATTTTTCATTTGATATGATAAATTTTGTTATTTTTTGGTTTTAATTATATAATACTAATACATATTTAATTGCAAGCACGCACAACTCATAGAGTTCGTTACAAAAAATTACAGAATTTGCAATTAATCGAAAAATCTCTGCTTAAACTAAAAAAAAAATAGTAAAATTTCACAAAGTTCTGCGCTCACGGCCTTCGTAAGCAAGTTAAGCAAGTTAAGCAAATTGTTGAATTTTTGTTGTACCAAAAATCCCCGGTAAATTTTCTCGCCTTTACAGCCAGTTACTTTTTAAACAAATATTTTGTAAATACATTTGACTTCCCAATTAATACTCATTCGCATATCACAAAATTCAATATTCTTTACAAAGGATCGAACAACGGTAAGGCCGATCCAAATATTTAGTTCTTTACAAAACAACAAATTCTCTGCTTCAGTTCAACAACAGGTTTCTTATTTATCATAGAGCATTATTTGTATGAAATTCCAGTTTTATCAGGTTACTAGTCTCTTATGTAATGCCTCTTATACTCGTTTAGTATTATGACTTCGCTACCAAAATATTTAATGTGCGTAATTTGTTTACTAGTAAAGTGACATATTTTACTTTATATATAGAATATGTTTATTTTTATTTGATTTATTTACTTTTTTTATTCTTTCCTTGTTTTGTAATTTAAAGTGACAATTATCGTTTAAGCTTTGTCATTTTCTGTAACGGTATTTACAGAAAAGTAACTTTGCTATACAAATTTTCATTTGATTATTTGGTTTTATGTTTCGTAAACACACAAAAAATTTGCGTCGTGTGGTTTACATTACAAAAAAGTCGTTTGGTTATATCCAATTCTCTAAACAAAGTCGAGCTCTAGGCCGGCCTCAATGTTGACGGCCACCGCCTTGTCCGGCACATTACCAATATCATGGTTCACCTCGTCTTCCCCCTCCTCCTCCTCCTTTAACTTCTTCGATTTGGACTTCTCTTTCGTCGCGAAACCTAGTATGCCTAGGGCACTGCCGCGACGTGAAGATTGTCCCAACTGCTCGAATCAGGAATCCACTAACACATGCCAGCGCGCCAATAGCTCACCCTTGGCTAAGTCGCGTACATCCGCCCAATGCGCTACCTCCTCTGGTCCGGACGAGTTTAAACCCATACTAAACCAGCCGACCATTTCATTCTTTTTCATATTACGTTTCGCATAAACGGAAACCATAAGCGTCACATCGTTCAACTGGAAAAGTGCCACCTGCAACACATACAACGGTAATTATAAGTAAAAGTTAAAAAAAAATATAGTTCTTACTTGAAAGACGAAGGTCTCCTTAAAGAGCGGATGTGGTTGGCCGCGTCTCGTTGATGTTTTCGCTCGCGATATTTCCTGCCCTATACTACTAACTAAGCACAGCTTTACATATGTGTCGGGCGCCTTATTCATTGATAAACTACGAAAATGACTACCCTTGACAATTTCCACTGTCAAACGCCCTGTAACGCCGTTATAACCTAAACCTAAGAGTAGTTCCGGCACACCACCATGTTGCATCGATGTGGTCGAACCGGCACTATCTGAACGCGCCAGACTTAACAAATCACTATTTGAGCCCAAAATCTATAAAGCGCCAGATAGTAAATAAATTTTGAATTTATTTCAAATTTTCAAAGCAAGATTTGCATACAAAAATACTTACAGAAGACGTACTCCTCGGCTCCAAGGGTAGCCACAAATTCGTCTCCAACTGTAAATCTATTGTGGCGAAACTAACATACGCCTCGCCGATTAGACGTTCTTTCCGTAAACGTTCGCAACCGTATATTCGTACACGCAGTCCCATATTGTTGACCTCCTCTGGATTGACTCGATGTAACAGAAAACTCTCCATATATTGTGGATTCTCGCCCGAGCGAATTTTAGTCTTATGCTTTTGCTTCTTATTTGGCAACATAAGAAGACGGACCTGAAAACGAGATTTGAGTTTAAAAGCTAACGCTAAGTAAATTCTAAAGTTGACTAATGATTAAATTTTTTAAATCACGGGTGATCCAAATAGAGGTACTTCTTTCAATAGCCTTTTTTTGACAGATCACGCGTGAGCCGTGTCAAACTGTCATGTTATTTTTGTTCAGTATTGAGAGCCGATTCGGCCCCATACGAAGCGACTCGGATCGATGTAGGAAACGACTCGGCGCATGTAGAAGATCTTTGCGTACAAAATACAGCTTGTGCAAGGACTGAAACGGTTCGACCTTCCTAAGCGACATCACTTCGCTCTACCGGCTCTTGAAAAATTCCAGAAAGATCCGTCGTTTTCGGGCCAAGTTTTGTTTAGTGGAATTTTGTTCAGTGGGTATGTAAACATACAAAAATTGTCACAAGAGCTGCCATATCATCCAGAAAAAATAACGGTTTGGTATATTTGATGCCTGAAATTGAACGTCGTTATCTCGGCGACATTTTGTTTGGATTTATTAAGAGAGCACTTCGATACGCAGATAATTTCACGTTTTTGGCCGGTTGATTGGGCACCAAGATCATACCGCACGATAGACATTTTTCTGTAGGGATAGGTAAAGTTTGAAGTCTATGCGCACAATTCCGCTAGAATTCAGGGCTGTGGATACCTCGACTTTCACAAACCTACTCCCAATGATTGACTAAGTTCGTTAAGGCACGATATGGTTTTGTAAGGGACTTGAATATGATGTACGAAATCTATCGATTTTCATTTAAAGCTCGCACGTTGAAAATCTCGTAAAGATCTGACCGGATCTTATGCCGACGCATGAAAATAGTTTTACAATTGTTTAACTTAAATTACCTGCGTATGCGTCGTTTGTCCGTTGCCCAAAGTGGGTAGACCGCGGGCTTGCATCACGTGCACAGTCATCTTACGCATGGGTGCATCGTACAGCAAAGAGATTTCGATACTGCCACTTTTACCATAGAATTGATTCTGCACCGAAGTGTCGTCCGATTTGATGGAACGCAAATCGCTGGTGTCGAAAAGTGGTTCCTACAAAAAAAAAAAAAAATGAAATGGTGAGTGGCGTGATGTGCGTTAAATATCCGTGGACTCATAAACTTACATCTTCGTTATTATTATTACTGCTGTTATGAATATTATTATTATTGCTATGCAAATCAGGCACATCATCTAAACTGTCTTGACGCGCAGACGCCGTCGATATCTTCTGATATCTGCCGCTACTGCTATTACTGCTGGTTTTTGGCAAATCCGCACGATTGTCGATGCGCGACTCCTTCAGCGAAGACGAAGCGCTGCATTCGCTCGACTTATTCGTGCCGCCATTACTTTGAAGACGTTCTGCATATTGTTTGAATGTTTCTTAAAACATTTTTATTTAAAAGACTTAAGTTCAGCTGTTACCTTTCCTGTCACCGGTCAATATACCCGTATGACTGTCAACTGAGGCCTTCTCCGAGTCATTCGAACTGCACTCACTATGCGAGGACGGAATACCGACTTTACCACGCTCCGCTATGGCCAACGGATCACGCGCCGGATCGAAGCGTGGCGTTATCGTAACGCGCTGCAATTCGTTCGGCGTATAATTGAAGCTGTGTTGGGGATTTGGCGGAGACGGTGGCAGATACGATGACTGCTGGTGCACACCGTAACTATTGAAATTACCGTTCGTTGACAAATTACGTGACTGCTGCAAGCGTAAGCGCCGCAATATATCTTCCTCAGAATCAGAGCTGGTATTATCATAACGGCGTTTGCGTGCTACAAAATAATGTACAAATTAATTATGTACAAATAATTTAATTTACCAAAAAAAAAACTAATTGCAATTAATCTCTCTTCACAATTATTTGTGATTATACTCACACTTACACATTTTTTGCGTGTATTTGGATGCGTTTATCTTCTCATCGCAACAATTTAGACCGTGTCGAGCATGAAAGCACCATTTGCGATGTACGTAAAGGAAAAATAAGAACATCAAAGTGACGACGCCGAAAAGCGCACCCAATACTGTCGTTAACTCAACGGTTCCTTGGTTCATGAAAAGAGGGAATTTAAGAAACGACATAAATAACGGTGTACAAATAAAACTGCCATATTTAATTAATCAACAGTAAAGGTAATGCGTTTAAACACGAATGTCCTTCAGCTTGTACGGACTTTCGTGCGTGTGTGTGTGTGTGTGTGTGAATATGTTTCTGCATGTATGTATGTATGTGTGTCGTACTCACTTTCGAATTGCCTGGCTAACATAACAAACAAAATATTAACCAGACAATGCCGCCAAAGGAAGGAAGTGTGAACACTACAACTGCCAACAATTAACTGCTCAACTATTTTACTGTTCACCTGTTTCAACCAACTGTACAGCGCGGTATTTAGTTAAAACTCAGCTAACTGCAATAATGGAAATTCCCATAAAAATAATAACAGCGTAGAAGACAACGCGTATGTACATTCCGACTCATACATACATATAATAATGACGATGAAAGTAAAAAAATCGAATTTACTCGTGAATAGTTTCACTAATGACGTGTTGTCAGTAGGTGAGTAGGTTGAAGTGACATACAAAAAGGATAAGTACATATAGCTTAATAGATATAACAACCAATAGTCGTCATAATTTAACCGTGTTTCGGAACTTTCCCAGCTTAGAAACACAATTGTATCTAATCAAATATTGGAAATGTTCATAATCTAGAAAAAATATACTTTGTTGTCTCTCTTAAAAATACCATAAACTTTAGAGGTAAAGTCAATTTGGAAATCCAATGTAGAACTAAGGCGGTGCTTGAAAGCTTGAAATACTCTCTTAACAAAAATATAGTTTTTAATAAGTCACACGAGCAAAATCAATTGCCACAGGCAGTAGTAGGCAGTAATGAGTTAGTACGAAGTTCGGTCTATAAGGTATATATGTATATAAGAACCTTCGCTCTAAGCTGATGGAACACAGTTCTTCTCTGATTAGCCAAAGCTACCCCCTTTTGGGGGCCTTCCCTCAGGCGGTCCAATTTTTGACAGTATAGACCCTAATTAAAAGTTAGGCTATAGACGAACAGCTCATAGTAGATGATTCCTGACTTGGCGACCGTTGGCGCCGCCTCACCGCGATTCAACCACAACCGTTTTCAGTTTACTTGAATAAAATTTTCACCACCAGTAAGCATCTGTGTCAGATATTGACAGTTTTTGTTGCGATTCAACAAATGGGAATTCGGTGTACGAGGTTTTTTATATCAAATCCTTTGGTATTGGTCTGCTTTAGGTTCTTTGTGTAATGTTTAGTTGCTGGACAATCGAGGGTGTGCTTACATTACTGATGGTCTTTACGATTTTTGTAAGAGAGCTTACATACCAACACCAATCATATGGAATACACCGAATATTAAATGCTCGCGAATATGCTCCCATTTCACTTTTGACGGCTATAACTTCGAAGTCGTAGATATATTTCGCCAATATTTGAACCAGCATTGACACCAACAACACCCGACAACCACGTAATATAACGCAGAATAATTCTTGCCAACAGATGCTACCTCGGGCTAAGTAATTGAGAAGTAAAGTCCTCTCTGAACGAACAAAGATCAAACTCTGCAAGTCACTTATCCCCGTCCTGCGACGACTCTGCTATATGGCGCAGAGGCACGGACAATGAAAATAGCTGATGAGTCAGCGTTACGATTTTTCTAGAGAGAGGTTCTGTGGAAGATTTATAGTTCTTTGCACATTGGCAACGTCGATTATCGCAGTCGATGGAACGATGAGATATACGATGACATTGACTTAGTTCAGCGAACTAAGAGAAAGCTGCTACGCTGGCTAGGTCATGTCGTCCGGATGGATGAAAACACTCCAGCTCTTCGAATATTCGACGCAATACCAGCGGGGGGAAGCAGAGGAAGAAAAAGACCTCCACTCCATTGGAAAGACCAGATGGATAAGGACCTGGCTAAACTGGGAATCTTCAATTGGCACCAAACAGCGAAAAGGAGGAACGACTAGCACTCTGTTGTTAATTCGGTTCTAAACGCGTAAGCAGTGTCTACGCTAATAAAGAAGAATAAGTATGTCAAGTTTACGCACAATTTTATACTTTTAAAGTACAATGATACACTGTTACGAGTAAGACATTTTCTTTGAATTTAATGGAAATAATCCATATGTTAACCGGTATATGCTGAAGTCATCTGAAAGTTTGAAAATCGTTGTATTAGCTATATGGGAGCTAAGGGAAATATTAACACGATTGAACCCATTTTTAACACACAGATATACCATCATGAGAAAAGGGGGGTTACCCCTTAGGGGGGTATTCTAGTCTATAATTAAAAAAAAATCGTTTTTTTTTTTGCATAATCTTAAAGACTGGACCTTAATTTCATTTATATATTTCCTACATTAACCGATATTTGCGGTAAAAAGTCATCCAGAAGTTCGAAAATCATATATGGGAGCTAAAAAACTATTAATCCGAGGAATATCTCCGTATTTCAATTATATATCTCACACATTGACCGATATTTCTCTTAAAAAGCACATGCAACACACTCACACATACAAACATATGTACATATATACATGTATATATGTATACTAGCGTCAAAGTATCGCATCCAGTTTCAATGTCAAATACGTATGTATGTATGCTGGCGCCTTTGTCTTTGTCAGCACCTTCGTTTAAAGTGCGTGCGCAACGCGTCCTGCCGACAACTGTTTAAATACAAACAGACACACCGCTAAATACATGTGTATGAGTTTACTGAACTGCAATTACACGCAACTAACGGGCGATACACACCGGGGCTGCCAATTAATGGCGCAGTGGTCAAAGTACATAGTATATAAATACATAGCACAGGCACACAAGTTCTAAGCGTGGCCGGCAGGAGTACGCTCCGGTTACTGTATGAGTGTTGTCAGACAGTCAATCAACTAAGGTGTTGTAAATTTTTAAAAGCCATTAATATTATGTTACTAACGAAGAGTTTGTGAGTGTGTTTGTGCATTTACGTATGGAAGACTTGTTATATTCTATGAATACATGTACTTGATAGTCAATATGTGCTTTTGTACATCCTTACATATGTATAAATATATATACATACGTATGCATGTATTTTATTTGCCATAAAGCTCTAGAAACCGGGTCAAAGTGTTTGCAGGAAAAAGTGATGCACGCAAGCGCCTTTAAGTTCATAGATATTTGTGTGCATAGGAGCCATTGACCATAATATTTTATTAACATTAGCGTGATACTTAAAGCCTACTCTTTTAGAAGGTTAATTGGAAGGTTTATGTCTCTTGGAAATCGAATTCGGAGTACTTATCAGAGTTCTACAGATCAAAATGGTTGGCTTTCCTTTTGTAGCTATTTAATTTTAACGTTGCTTGGTCATGCTTGTGGTAATCTTAATTTGGATCTCTTCATAATAAACCTTAACCAGCGCTAAGCCTTACTAAAATTTTAATTGTCATTCGCTGTTTCGGGTAATAAAACAAAATAAGTCTTATAATTCTTTGAGTTTTAATCTAGTTTTATATGACATGCCCTAATGGCTGGCTTGGAATCCAAAAGATATACATACGTATGCATATGGATTTTTTTCGGCTTTTGTGTCATCATTTTAGGTTGAGGTTTGGAAAGTTTTAAGCAAAACATTTCTGATTTCAAAACATCATATCTTAGCTGTCTTCGATTCACTATTCCTCGCTCGCTGTGTTTGTGCGGTGCTTCTATGTCAGCAAAATTACATGTAAAAGCACAACAAACTTATCGCGTTGAGTTCCACACCTCATCAATGGTATATTTTCGATGATGACAAGTGTTGTTTTACATATTTTAGAACATTTTGTCATTTGATTCGTTCATAACGTTGAAGAATGACTTAAGTAGTCTTTCAGTTTTTTAGATATTGATCTGAAATTTTGCTTGCACTTGTGAGGCTTATGATAGTTTCGGTATTTTCCTTGTTTTTTACACATTTTAGACCAATTCGACCGTTATGACTCATATGACAAACTAGTCTCACACAAGATATAGTTTTTGGAAAAGCCATGCAAGTTGTTCCAAACTTAATACTATATTTTTTTTTAACTTCGAAGTATTATTTTTCCACCAAAAAATTAAAAGGGCAACACCATTTTAAATGCCTTTAGATCAGCTAATATTTAAAATTATGACTATCACAAACTATTATTTGAAAAATACAAAAAGAATTATATTTGAAATAAAAATTTTATATTGAATAAAAAATTAAAAGAAAATAAAAATTGCATTATTAGTCAATTATAATTTTCGTTTTTTCCACTCACCATTTAATGAATACGATTCCACGCCGGAAATTACTATCATCTTAGTTCAATTCCAAGCGCTTTCTTTGTTTTTGCTTTCAAACTCTTTCACTGCGATTCGCACGAGGTGCGTGCACTGCACAGCTGCAAAATACAAGCAATACCAAAAGTACCGTTATAATCTAATGCGTTGCGAGATTTGAATATTCTTACACACACACCAACACACATACGGAAAATCCAATTACTCTTACGCAGTTCAGCAAGTGTTTGCACACACACACACACTCAAAGCTGGCGACTTGCCGTTTGGGTTATGTTTATGTTTTTCTTCTGCGTATCGGCACAAATGATAACAAATCAAAGCATTGTTGACATTTCACAAATGCAAAAACAACACCACAAACATGAAACAATATGTGTACATTCCAGTGGAATGCTGGCAGTGGACTTTGCAGCGGAAAGTCGTGTGAAAGCTTCGTGGAGGGTAGTTAAGACTCCTTGCAAGCCACAAAGGATACTGAAATGCACACAATCGATTTTTCCAAATGATATCCATAAAAAACAAAAACTTTAATGCGTGCATGTAAATAACTTGCCCAAATATTTTTGCGCAGTTTTTGCATCAAATACACACCTCTTATTTTTAGCTAAAACTTTATCGCACGTCTGCAAAATTTTCACTTAATACTGTTTCGTTCTTGTGAAAATAAAAATTGAAACTAAAATGCACACAACAAAAATGAAAAATTGTGTTAATCCGGTTCACGCTGCTGCTTTGCTAGGTACTTTTCACGTAACATTTGTCCACTTTGCACACAATTTCTTCGCTTCGCACGAAATATTTAGCAGTTACTTAAGTTGGCTACAAGTTTGCTGCACAAATTTGTTAAATTTTTGAAATTTCTTTGTGTTCTTAATCACTTCTTCATGATTTCTCACAAATTTTTGTGTGCGTATTAAAGTAGCAGTGACTCAGATATGTGATTAGTAACATATGGTATTGCTGTTACCTCCTTCTTGTATGACGAACAAAAGCTCGGGAATGCTTCCAAAAAGCTCTGCCATTTGACAAGTGTCACGAAAGGACAACAGTTGCGCACGAAATGCAAAACAACTGTTGATATGAATTTTATACATATGTATGTATGTAGTGTAGCGAAACTTTGGTAATAGACAACCCCGCTGTAGACCGTGCTAATGTCATTATTTTCTCAATACTCCAGTAAGAGGTTTGAAATAATTTTAAAAAACAATATTGTAACAAATTATGATCCGAACATGATAACCAAATTCAGTCTGAAGTCAATTAAGATGTCTAGAAATGTAACATCTCTTTTCGTCCTAGTTTAAATCGAATGTTGCCGAGATCACGAGCTTCAATATCAGGCATCAAATGGTCGGTTAGGAACGCGCCTCATCACTGAACAAAATTTGGCTCGAAAACATCGGATCTTTTCTACTTTTCAACAGTACATAGAGCGACGCGTTGTCGTTTAGGATGGTCAAGCGGTTTCAGTTCTTGCACAAACCGTATTTTGTAAGCTTTCTATTTAAGATCTCGACGTAAAATGCGTCAAGTCGTTACCCACGGTTTCGTATACGCTCTGAGCTACGTCTGCTATATTCTCTTCACTGCGTAATAATTTATATGAAAAATCCATGGCTATTAAGAAATCCATCCCCAGCAATAAGACGTTCCAACAAGTACCCTGCAAGCCACTTACCAGTTAAATTGCCGGATAATTACGCAACAACGCTAACAGAAAGTTCTTTTATAATTTCAAAGAGCTTCTTACAGCCCGAATTTTCGTTCATTCCTTTCTTAAGTTAAGACTTTATGAATTGCATGGCGTGTATGTGCGAGTTTAAGTCCTAATTCATTCAATGTATTAGAGTATCGGAGTGTAGGACATAGCAATACTCATCTTTATCGCATGATAGCGCTAGCAAAGAAATAATTCTCATAATCAAACTTATATTTTGGTTTTGATCCTAATATTGGTTAGAGGTTCGTGTTAATATTGGTTAGAGGTTCGTGTTATTGGAAGGCAAAACGCATAATGAAATCAAGAATAGCTTGAATGTGACACGGTTCCTCTTCTCTTGCGATGCCTACTGTAAAAATTGGTTTTACGATTTTCAACTTGGCTGCACGTCGATTATGACAGCTGTCGACGCGATGGGTGCTCACCCCAGTTAACAAACTCAATCATATAACTACTTCACAGCAATTTGCGACATTGTTTAAGCGAAATTCAAAGAATATGTAAGGACGTTACTCGCCAAAAACTAACGAACAGTCGATCACGAAGAAGAGCATAGACTATGCTGTCAGTCGGAATGATGATGACCACCATTTTTTATGGGGTTCATGGGTGTGTTCTACATCGACTACCTCTTTTAGGAAACACAATTCAAAAATTTTATTAAAAGATGACCGATCTAAAAAAACATTCACATCGGTCTGTTCTCTTCTTCTATATATGTTAAGATACCGGCTCAAACCTTCCCCATCGCCACATCCAATTGGGTCAAAATAAACTTCGAACTGCGATCCACCGTATTTTCCACATTTGGAATCGTGGCTTTTGTTTTAAAACTTGAGAAAGTAATATTTTCGTCCAGCCATCAACTTTTGCTTTATATTCTTACAAATTAGTACGAGTATCTAATGTTCGACTTCGCAGACACCCTCCACACATTACCAACCTAACTCTTAACGAACACATTTTTTTCGATGTTTATTGGAGAACCAACGAACGAAGCGAAACCGTAAAGTGCTGTAAAATCATCCAATCAAAACACAGCAATTTTCTACAAAGTTTTCAATCATGTTCGCGTCACATAAATATTTTTAAATATTTGTTTAAAATTCATAAATTAAATATAGTTTATGATGAAAACATAGATGGATTTAACAACAACATTTAGCATACAAAATGCGTCGATGAAAAACTCTCCCCTATGGATGCACCTTCTTGCAGGCGGAATCGCAGGAGCTATATCGCGCACGTGCACCGCACCAGCCGACAGAATTAAGGTGTACTTGCAGGTAAATAAAACAAAATACAACCATTATTCGTAAGGTCCGTAAGTCAAGCGTGTTATTGGTGCAGGTACAAACGCATAAGACAAGCTTCATGGAATCCCTACGATATTTAATTAGCGACGGTGGTGTGCTAAGTATGTGGCGTGGCAATGGCGTAAATGTTTTGAAAATTACACCCGAATCTGCTATAAAATTTGCTGTATACGATGAATGTAAGCGATTTCTGCGCGGCATGGACGAACGTCGTGCCCTAACAATAGGTGAACGTTTTGCATGCGGCGCTGTAGCGGGTAATGCCTCGCAAACATTGCTTTACCCCATGGATGTACTGAAAACACGTTTGGCATTGGTTAAAACTGGTAAATATTCCGGAGTCATGCCGATGATCAAGAGTATGCTTGAACGGGAGGGCTTACGTTCATTCTACCGCGGTTACAACGCCTTTGCTGTCGGCATTATGCTTTATTGCGGCATTGATCTGGCCATTTATGAAACAGTTAAGCAAGCATATTTGGGTTACAGAGAAGCAGAAAACACATTAAAACCGCTAGTGATTTTAAGCTGCTGCACATTCTCAAGTACGATTGGACAAGTAACAACCTACCCGCTGGCGCTACTGAGTTCACGTCTTCAAGCTAAAAGTAAAGAAAGGCAAAATAGTATAATAATGATAATCTTAAAATACAATTTTATCCATTTTTCAGCTGTGCTGAAAAAGCAAGCGCTAAGCGAAAAATTTTTAGATAACAACATGGTGCTGCTGTTGTGGCGAATTCATCAAAAAGAAGGTATACATGGTTTATACCGCGGTATACTGCCTAACTTTATGAAATCTATTCCTTCTGTATGTATCACTTATATAGTCTATGAGTATATCATATCACTTTTAGGTTACAGTATGATATAAAGTTACGAATAACAAGCAATAAATATAATTACAACATATTATCTAATGGGACTTATCTTATGTTTGCAAAATTTCGCTCTTTTGTTTACCTAACGGCTGTATCTAAGACCTAGTATTTATCGAGGGAAATATAAGATTAATATATATAAATCACATTATGAAAAGTGTGTACGTACAGGTACGTCTATCCGTTCATTCGTTTGTCTTAACTTGAGTACAAATTAAGATCCCGCATAAGATATGTATCTTGATAATATCTCAGATAGGCGCAACTGTGGGTCGCACCATTTATTTTTTACTGCGCAGTTGGTGATAACACATTTTACCGTTCAATTAAAGAGTAGTCTTTGATCGTATTCTTTTCGTCTTTGCTCAACATACACTCAAGATCACAAAGTATAGAGACGCAACAAACTTCCCCGCTCATTTTAAATGCCCATCATTACACAGACGAAGTAAGGCTTCTTTTTTCGGGATTTATATCTAAGCATGATGCCACCAAAACAACATTGTCAAAAACTTTTACAACAACAACATTATTCTAATTGATTATAATCAGTTTACTAGGCATTGGGTAAGTTACTTATACGCAGTGATGGATCACTTTTTGATTGAAATAAAAAGCTGTAATCGAACCACCTTATATTAACATATTTTAAAATTCATTAATATTTCATATTATTGTGAAATATATCTTATATGTAAATTGCAAGATTTCTACAAATCTCAAGTAATTTTCTTTTCTTGGCACTTCGTTTGCACTATGGAGATGACGATAGGTAGCAAGTAGTCGTATAAACACATTCCGTATTCGCCACATACTCGGCTTACGGCTTTAACTTCCAGAAGCGTTATCTTCTTCATTCGACATTTGTTCGGCTAAAGGATCATTTTACTAAAATTCAGCCATTTTGTAAAAATTTTATGTAAAACTCAAAGAATTAAAGTACTTTACTCTCAGATAGCACGACTGTCTACAATAACCGTTTATCATAGGAACTCTCCTGAAAATTATGATTCCGAATATTGGCCCATTTTGTATAAAAATGTCCATCCACATTTTTAGATGCACTCAAACAACGGGGTTTTCAATAGGAACGGTACAAAAGTTGACCGATAGGGAGCAAACGACGCCATTGAAGCCGCTTCTTTGACATTTCTCTTTAGTAAAGTTTGCCATTTTATCATGGAAAGGTATACGATCCAACAACGAGTCAAAATTATTCAAATTTAGTACCGAAATTCGGAGTCAACTTTAAGAGCGCTACTTCCAATTTATGTCGTCATAATCGTCCTGTCAGATCAAAAATTAAGCGTCTAGTGGAAAAATTTGAATCCACAGGCACAGTACAAAATATTCCAGTGCCAGTGAGGCAAAGAAGTGCATCTCAGTGATGTAGTTGCGGCCAACTTTGCGAAAAGATCTAGGCCTACATCCTTACAAGATCAAATTGACGCAAGAACTGAAGCTGCTTGCCCACCAGAGACGTCATATGTTTGTGAATTGGGCTGAGGAACAACTTGAAAATTATCCGAATTTTCATTGTAAAATCCTCTGCAGCAATGAGGAATAGCTTCGTCAATAAGCAAAATACATATGTGCTATTGGTCATGCAGCAATTCACACGTACTCCATTGGTCACCATTGCATCTCGAAAAAATTACGGTTTGGTGCGGTGTATAGGCCGGCGGCGTCATAGCGCCGTACTTCTTCCTTGATGATCAAGACCGGCACATTACTGTGAATGGGAATCGCTACCGTTCAATGATAACCGAATATTTTCGGCCCGCATTGAATGATATGGGCTTGGACAATATGTGGTTCCAACAGAATGGCGCCACAAGTCACACAACACAATCGATTTATTCAAAATCAAATTTGGTGAACGTGTTTGACGCCGTTAAACTATTTCCTATGGGACTACGTCAAGTCTATGGTCTATGCCAACAAGCCAGCGAAGATTGTTGTGCTTCGTACGATTATCGAACGTGAAATTGCAACAGTATCGGTCGATTTATGCTTGAAAACCGCCGAAAATTCGGCTCAGCGTTTGGACTTCTGCCAGTGAGCCCGTGGTGTCCATGCAAAAAAAAATCGAGTTCCATACATAATGACTTTCACAGGAATAAAGAATTTCATTGGATATCATTTTTTTTTTAATGATCGTTTTTGTTTTATTAAAAAAAAATTTGTAGCGCTCTTATTGAAAACCTCGTTACATGCTACCTTTTCTGGGCTCCCAGATTATGTTGCAAAAATTATGCACTTCATAGGCATCGAGAATGGGTAAATAATAATCACATTCAATGAAATGCTGTGCCACTACTATTTTAATTTGAATTAAATAATTTTAAAGTTCAAGCGCAAGATGCAGTTTAAGCAGCTACAATTGTTTGCAAATTTAAAAGCAACACTTTTTCGTTTAAATTTTTTTTTTTTTCAATTTTTTGCTTCCTGACCAATGCCCATCTCCTTGATGAATGTGAAAAGTGTAAAAGAGAATTTAGCCAGCTGAAAGCATTACAAGTAAAAAAGATTCTACAGTTAAAACTAAATCAGTGTCCAGTGCCAAAACTCACCGAAATATTTGTTGCCACATTAATGGGAAACAACTGCATGGCCATCAATTCAATGGACAATTGAGCATGGTGCATAAAATATAGAATCACTTTGCGAAAACGTCGATCCCGCTCAGGCCAATTGCAATGGAATATGGCCAGTGGCAATTTTTCGCTGTCGGCCTTCAATTCGGTAGCGAAATAGCAACAAGGCGACGTCTGCAATAGAACACACAAGAAGTAGAGAGTCGAAGCGATTTGGGTGCTGCGATCAGCGAAAAAGAACATATTCACCATGGTCACACACAAAATCGAGGACATAATTAGGAATTGTGTAAAAATTGTTTTGGAAATAATCGGTTTAATTCTAGCCAGCAATCTAACGTTTTTTTTTTTTTTTTTGAACAAATTTATAATTAGTTTTACATGCATATATTTTAATTACAAGCACTAAATAACTCACTCTAGTATCTGTTGATGCGTGACTACGCAATCCACCAGCTCATTCAAGTTGTCATCCTCACTCTTAGTGGCATCTGTGCCCAAACGACCGACCCGACCCACTAATAACTGTAAATGCGTACTTATAACATAAATGTATACCGATCCATATGAATCATAGAGGGATTGATGGAATAATACGAAACCCATCAAGAACAAGTCATAAACTGTTTGCCCAAAGAAATGCATTGTGGACTGATGCTCATCGTAAAACGGAATCCATACCGAAAGTGGCGCTTTGCCATTGATTAAGGGCGGTATGACCGTAAACAGCATATACATCAGATATGACGTGCCAAAAAAGAATACCAGTCTATTGCCCATGACTGCAGCTTTCCGTATTAGGGCCACATCTTCGGGTCTGGTGTAACGTGCATCCAACGCCGCCAAAGTTGGTTCAATGCCGCGCAGTCGGTTCAAGGCGCTTGTCACCGTTAAACACTTCACTGGTAAGCCAATCAAATTTAAACTAGCCTGTAAACCGCTCAGAAATTGTACAGTTGTAATGATGTTTTTCATATATTTTATAACGAAGCCTGCTATGCCAGTAATTGGTCCAATTATTATGCAGATTGCATTAACCAGAAAAGACCACATATAATATAGCGGACCAGCATTCTTAGGTGGACTTATCCCCACAAAAGTACAGCCCTTGAAGAAATAGATGAATGCATACTTTGAGGCAGTCTTTCGAATACCTCGTCCGGTTATTAGTTCAAACATCCTTTTGCCTTAGACAACTTTACCACAATGTTGAAAATCGCAAACTTAGAAAAGTCTATTATGGGAAAATCATTGAAAATTTCATTTTTATTGCAAGAATATTCGCTTATGAGAATTAATGGAACCATAGAAAAATCCCTATTATCCTCTTTCATTTTCTTCATTTTAAATTGTGTGCAGTTATTTTAAGACTAAATTATTAATTAGGGTGGAATAATGGCTAACGGAAGTGTGGCAAAATCTCAACAGCTTACAATTATTATATTTTAATTATACACAGTTATATAGTGTAATGGTTACGTAATGAGTGGTTAAGGCGAAGGAAACTATAAATTATTAGTTGCGCAATTGTATTCATGTAATCTCTAAAAAGTAGAAACCTCAAGCAGCAAATAAAATTGATTAAGTGCAATTAATAGCGATTTATACGTTAAGACTATCGGTTAAAGTTGTTTCTGTAGTAGCGTAATTGGGCAATTAGCCGGTAACTTAACCTATAATGGGCTTACAGGATAGGCATTGAAATTTAATCGATTATTTGTTTCAACCACCCTGTAGTTATAGCAGCATTTACGGAAAGCAACCCTGTCTCTCCACTGTCATTTCACGCGGCATACCGTCGCGTTCACTTATTTGGCAGTTCAATTGCAAAGGAATTTTATTACAATTTCGTTACCGGTATCAAAGCATTGTTTGAGAAATATTCACACACTTTGATTTTTCAAGGCGATTCCATAAAACAGTTATTTTTAAAGAACACTAAATTTTACAAAATAATAACAAAATGTTCTGGGGTAAGTTTTTAAAGTAATTGTTGAATAGTTTGCTTTTGTAAGAAACGATTTCACCACGTGTTTTTTTTTTTTTATTTGCGCGGGCCTAACGACCCACGCCATCTTTGCAAAAATATTTTAATCACATTTATCATCCAATATTTAGGATTAAATTTAAAACCTAACCGTAAATACACTCAAAAAACCAGCAAACCGTTTCACATCTCCTTGGCGGCGTTGGATACAGATTCCTCATCAGATGAAGGCTCTAACCAAATTTTTATTAATCATGATAATCAAAAATTTTTAATTTGCACATTGCGCAAAGGCAACTGCGAGCAAGTTATGCTGGACCTGAATTTCGGTGAAGGCGATGAAATTTGTTTCCAAAGCATTGGTAAGTGTTTCAAAATAATAAATTCAATTCGTTTGGAATCTAAAATAAATTTTATATCCATAAAGGTAGCGGAAATGTTAGTCTTACCGGATACCTAATTGATAAATTTAACTTTATGGATGATGAAGATGACGACGAGGAAGAAGAAGAGGAAGAACAAGATATACAAGATCTTCGCCAGGCTTTAATTAAAAAAGCCAATGCCAAAAAGGGTAAGAAGGCAGCTGTTGAAGAGGAAGATGATGATGAAGATGAAGAGGACAGTGATTTTAATGGAGAAGGTTTAGGTAAGTAATCATATATAATTAAATGAAGCATGAAATGACGTTATTGTTAATAATAGATGAAGTTGAGGAGGACGATGAGGATGAGGATGAAGAAGATGACGAAGACGATGGTAAATGTAAAATTTTATTAGAACTTTAGCAAATTATTTATTTGGTTAATATTTTAACAGACGAAGATGAAGATGACAACGATGATGAAGAGGGCGAAGAAGATGATGAAAGTGAGGATGAAGAAGTCCAACAGCCAAAAGCTAAACAGCCAAAATTGGATAAGCCTCAAAAGCAACAGAATGGTGTCGCAAAAGAAAACCAAGTTGCTGCAGATAAGAAAGGCAAGAAGGATAAAAAAGCAAACAAAGCTGAGCAACAGAAGCAACCACAACAAAAAGCTGCCGGTGAACGCGTAATAACTGGTGGTGTCAAAATTGAAGATATTCGTATTGGCAATGGTGCAGAAGCTAAGTCTGGCAAACGTGCTCAAGTGTATTATGAAGGTAGACTTAAATCCAACAATAAGGTATTCGACAGTTTGAAGACAGGCGCTGGTTTCAAGTTTGGTCTTGGTCGTGGCGAAGTCATTAAGGGTTGGGACGTTGGAGTCGCTGGAATGAAAGTGGGAGGTAAACGTCGCATCACTTGTCCACCACATATGGCATACGGCGCACGTGGTTCACCACCAACAATTCCGCCAAACAGCACGCTTGTGTTCGAAGTAGAATTGAAGGGCGTGAATTAGAAATATATCTTTTCCTTTAATTGTTTATTTACTTAGCATTTATGTATGTATTTGCGGTAGTTCGCATTTACGTTTTTTTTTATATGTTCGTCTTTTTTGAGTTTGAAATAAGTTAAAAACAAGTTGTTTCCTTAATTATCCTCATTATTATTATTCCTTTGCATAAATGTGAAAATGTGCAAAAAGGCAACGTAGAACTATCCTCTTATATGAGCAACACTCGTTGTGAATGATGAAAAAATAAATACATTCGAAGTACTGTTTTGTAAAATCCCACTTGTTTGAATTCTAAATTGGTTAGAAATTTAACATTTCTTTAGCTTATTTAAAGTAACCGCTTGATTTGTCGTTTGTATAAAATAATAGTAAGGTCTCATCTCATCACCATTTTTCAAGCATATTTGCAAGTGGACCTAAAACCATTTCATATTCAATAAAATAAATAACAAATGTTTTAAATTGGTAGTTAGTTTATTAATTTTCATTATTTATTTTACATATACTACTTCTCTTCTAATTTTTCTGTGGGTTCTTTAGAGTTTTCACCACCGAAAAGTGGTTCTGAAGGTATTTTCCAAAATTCCTGTACATATGGCAGCCGTTCACTCGGATCTGTACTCCAATGATGGATACGACAGCGCAATCGGGCCTTCTCCAAATTATTTATGGTAATAGTGCAATAGAACTCTTTGGCTTCTTTATTCATATCTGGACCTTCAATACGTTCTTCTGGCATAGTAATGCACTCTTCCGGACAATGAATACCCGCTTTTCGAAGAGACGCTTTTATGTGCCAGGGTTCAACAACCCATGGCTGATCCTTATTCATAACCACAGCCAGTAAGAAACGTTCGATAATGTTTATCGTCTATCAAATTGAGATTACATTATGTGTTTGAAAATAAAAAATATACACTCGCATATATACATACCCGCTGGGCAAAAGCAGAGCTATGGCGCACAGTTTTCTTCTCGTCCTCGGTTTTGGTATATAACGCTACATTTTCAGCTGTTTTGTACACTGCCAAACCTGGTAGCAACAATTTATTATAGGCGAAATTAGGTCTCACCGACACCACATCGCCCTTATCACCCACACCTTCCACATAAGTTTTTAACACAACTTCCAAATTCGGTCGACGTTTCACATTTGTATCCTCTACCAACTCGTAGATGAAATGTTTCGCACGCAATTTTCGTGGTTTGGCGTTCGTTTTATGCAACAATGGGTCATATTTGCGCTTCAACACAAAAGTTGTCTAAAAAATATACACCGCGTATCGCATGTGAGTGCATTGGTTATGTATGTAGAGTAAATTGCAATGAATAAAATTAAAGCACCTACCCGCACTTGCTGCTGCACGGTGGCTGCACTTTTAAGTAAATTAATAGAACTACTGCACCATGTTTTCAACATGTTCATTCAAAAAGTTATGGTATTTTTCGTAATAATCCAAATTTTAGCAAAAAATACAGCGATAAAAAGTTAACCACTGATGAAACAGCTGTTCTGCAAGACATTTCTTATGTAAGCTGATAAAGTCTCCATTTGTAAAGCAGGGTTGTTAATAACAAATTCACTTTACCCATCGGGTTCAGTGCAAAGGAATTGTCTTGCGTTATAGTTCAACTTTATTTAAAAACATTTTTTTATTAACATGCATGTATTTATATACATTCAAGTATAAGTATATTTATCAATAAGCACAATATTTGAACATTTATTTACAAAATTGTTAATATTTTGTTATTAATCATATAAATAATTAAATTCATTTAATTTTTTTTATTCAGTAACAGTACAGTGAATATTTTAATAATTTGGCGAAAATAATATTTTACGACTACTAGAGTCAATAAATAATGATTTTAATCTTTATTAAAAAGCAAACGGTATATATGAAAAAAGTCATTACTCTCCGAACCCTTGTCTACTATCGATTTTGTACACCCCTAAAATAATTTGCATATGGCATACCTTTTCTCTTTACCAACAACATATTTGACATTACTTCACACCTTTTCAAACTAAACGCTAAATTGCGCACAAATCATTAGTCTCAATGATAAAAGAAACATCACAAAATCCAGGTACTTTTCTTAAACTGAAAAGATCTAGTGACCTAAGCTAGACTAGAAACTTGACGCACACCTACATACGTGCATTATCTAAATTTCTATATTTACACTTGTGTGTATACATACATACATATGTGCACAAACAAACGCCGCGTAATAATCGCTTTGTATGTAAATTCTTTTGTACATATACTATACTTAATACTCAACTGTTGCTTGTATCCAGTCGACAAAATGTCCTACGCGGGTATAAACACCTGGCCAACCTTCTAGTCCGCATGACGTCGGTCCAAAAGAAACAATGCCAATCAAAAAGTAATATGTACGTCCTCTGCCTGTCGTGCCCAGACCGATGAGTGGGCCACCCGAATCACCGCGACAAGAATCTACCCCTTTCTTGCCGCCAGCACACATTTGTGTGGCGTCTAGTAAAATACTTTGCGGTGAATAAATATGGCGACATTTCTCCAGCGGCACTCCAACGAGTTCGGCTTTCAATTTAACATTACTGTTCGATTTTGATTCGGTTTTACCCCAACCGGCCACATCCATGATGATTTCATCAAATGTGGCGGTGCGTAAATTATCGTTCAATGGCAGGCAAATGGGTCGTATGAAATCGGTGAATGTAACTGCATTCTTTAAACGCAAGAGCGCAATGTCGTTAATTTGATTCAACGAATTCGGATCGTATCGAGGATGTGGTATGGCACTTTCCACGGGCACGTCGATATGCGGTGGCGCACAGTCTTTCTCACCACGCACATCAACTTCGCAATCCGGATTTGTTTTCGTGTCCCATTCACCCAAACGTACCCCGGAAATCAACCAGTCCTTGGGCAAGGCTTTGCCATTAACACAATGCGAGGCGGTGACAATATAGCGGGAGCTGATAAGCGAGCCGCCACAGTGATGGCCAATACGACCGTATGCTGGAAGGAAATTAAAGATTCAAATATGATGCTTGCACTAAATATTCGAACAAAAGTTATTTAATTAAAAAAATTTTTTTTTTCTTACGTTTTGTGTATTCTATTAGTGCCATCCAAGGATATTCATCGATTTTGGTCGCATTGCCACCATAAATTCGGCTTGACGTCATCTGTCCGCATTTGCTGGGACGTGGTAGTTTCCTTGTTTTTGTGGACTCCATCGGAATCTTGTCCAATATTACAGCTTTTTTGAAACCTTGCTCCAATTTGATTGGTTTTACAGTAGCTTGTGTCAGTATAAGTGGCGTGCTATTTTGATCGGGGCAGCAAATCTGTGGAAATACTTCATTATTTTTTGAATTTTTTTTTATTTCGGTGTTGGATTTATTTTAAATTCTTGTGACTCACGAGCACTTTTCGATTAAGATAACCACATTGGCTTTGACTCAAGTATAGCCTATTCACATCATGTAACGGCTGATTTAGTAGCAAAGAATATAGTTTTTTACAATGTTGCAATATTACACAGGAACCAGGTCGACCATTTGGGGTGATGCAGCGTCCGAAAGTGGGCTTCCCCATCGTTTCATTGGGATGGTTGTACTCTAAAAATTAGAAATGCCGCAAATTTAAAAAATTGAAAAATAAATGTTGCAATAAAAACAGAGTAAATGAAAGAGAGAGAAATGTGTGGAAAATATACATAGTTAATATAACGGTAATCAGCATACAAAAAATAGAGTAGAGAACAAAATCATGAAGGCAGTTAGAGGAATATTCGGCCACATTCGCCATATTAATAAAAATTGTCAAAGTCTTGAATGTCAAATAAACTTCTCAACATTCGATTCCTGGCTTCAAAAGACTGAAGCACTAAAAGTTTAGATATAAGATATAAGACTTAAAATCTTCCACAAAAATACAAACACCACTCTATATTGCTTTATAGTTTAATTTACGCTATCCATAAGCACTCCACTCCTCTAGTCTCCTAGAGTGCATTTAGTGAAACTCGCTATTTTGTACGCAACTCTCCTGTCAAAAATTTTGCATAATGTTCGATTCATTATTGAAGACTTGGCATTTCTTATGTACTCGAGGCTAGTTCTTGCACCACACACATTTATCAACACATATCACAGAATCACAATTAATTAAATCAATCTCACATATTTTACTAATAATTTTTTATACTTACGCGATGCCGGCAAACTGCTGCTGAGCGCACTCATCAACAGAACACTTAAAAAAACTTGTCTTAACATCTTGAATATGTTTTGGTCACTGTCTAACGATTCATATAAAATTTTTAGCGCACCTGTGCGCAGACTCCAAGGTCATTTCAACTTGATGCTCAGTGAACTCTTCTTGTACACACGCGCGATCCTGCACGACATACTTTCGCGAATCTTGTGCAATGCCCTTTTTATAGCGGGTCAGGTAGGCGACTATTACCTTTCTGTTGACCGTTTGAGGAACCTTCGAAATTCCAGAAAAAGTCTGCACAACAACAAGTGAAACGGCGGTACCTGTTTCATTACACTTGTACGGTTTAATACGATTTTTAAGGAATAATTTAAATCTGCATACACTTATGTATGTAATGGAGAGTGTACTAATTATAAATACAAAGATTATTTATTTGAGTGAGTATACATATGAGTATATATGTACGTATGTATATAATTAAGGTAATATCAGCAATATATAATAAGAAACTTATTAATAATATTTAGTACTGTGTAGACTAAGGTTGAATGGTTGTTTGAATCCAATCTATAAAGCCGCCAACTCTAGTGTAAACACCCGGCCAACCCTCCAAACCGCAGGGGGTCGGTCCAAATGACACGACGCCGGCTAAAAAGTAATAGGACAACGCTTTCTTCGTATTATCCAAACTGATTAATGGACCGCCAGAGTCGCCACGACAGGAATCCACGCCCGCTTTGCCGCCAGCGCACATTTGTGATGATTCCAATAGTATATTTTCCGTTGCATAACGGTCATAACATTTGCTCAGCGGTACACCGGCGACCTCGGCTTTCAGTTTCAACGTACTAACCGAATCCTTTTCGGTCTTACCCCAACCCGCCACATCCATGACAATACCATCGAAAGTAGTCGTACGTAGATTGGGGCTGTTCGGCAGACAAATGGGTCGTATAAAGTCGGTGTACTGCACATTTCGATTGAGACGCAACAGCGCTAAATCGTTAATTTGATTCTTAGAGTTCGGTACATATTCCGGGTGTGGAATTGTCTTTTCCACAGCCACATCCATATAGGATGGCGCGCAATCCTTTTCGCCACGCACATCAATCTCACAATCGGGGTTGGTGGTCGTATCCCATTCACCAAGCCGTACGCCGCTTAATCTCCAGTCTTTGGGTATAGCCGGACCATTTACGCAATGCGAAGCTGTGATCACGTAACGTGAAGTGATTAGCGAGCCGCCACAATGGTGTCCTTTGTTACCGCCAGCTGTAGAGCATATGAGTAGTTTGCATAAGTCAATTTTAGAATATATTTGATTTAAAAAACTTACGTTTCGTGTATTCAATTAAGGCCATCCATGGGAATTCATCGATTTTGGTAACATTGCCGCCATAAATACGATTCGACAGCACATTGCCACATTGGCCGGGCTGTGGCAATAGATTACTCGGCGCGGCCGGTGGCGGTGTGGTGGTGGATTGTATCGATGGTACGTTAATGTAATCTCGATAACGATCGGGACAGCAAATCTATAATATGGAGGATATAAATTTTGAAGTGTACATAAATATAAATTAACTCTTGTGAGAAGAAATTTGTATACCCAAGCATTACGTATCTAGCTAAAACAACTCACATACTAATACAAAGACTTCGGATTTCCTCGTGACTTTTTACCGCATATATCGGCAAAATGAAAATGAGATATGTATGTGTGTATTTTACCGATAACAGTGTATGCTTATGCTGAAATGGATAAAATCGGACGAAAATTTGACCTAGTCTCCATATAAACATCATCAGGATTTTCGAACATCCGGAAGACTTCACTCTATACTCATTGATGATGGTATGTAAGATACCTTAGTGAAATCCAAGGAACATTTTATAAGTATATGGCATCTTACTAATACGTGATATTAGCAAAAATAGATAGAATCTGGTCGATACTACCATAACTCTCATATAGTTCATTTACATCATTTGTCGAATTGTTGAATTTTCGAGCTTACATTTTCCTTGCCTATCTTGACAGTTTGGTGTGGTTTATGGTCTGATGGAATCATCGGTCAGTACTTCTTTCAAAATGAAGCTGGTGAAACCTTCGCTATCAGTGGAGGGCGGCATAGATCGATGATAACCCATTTTATATGCTCATAATTGGAAGAAGTTGATCTTTACAACATCCAACAAGGTGGTGCATGGTGTCTCACAGCACGTGCAGTAACCGAATTATTTGGAGCAAAATTTAGAGATTCGATTATCTCAAGAAACTGTGACAAGAAGTTGTGATTTACTTTTTGTGGGGTTATTTGCAGTCATTGATCTTTGGTAATAAACTAGACTATTTTAAGCTTTAGAAGTCAATATAGAAGGTGATATTCATGACAGTGGAAAAAGTACTAGATAATTGAGCTGATTGAATTTGTTCCTTCAAAAGAAGTCCTTCAGGTCATTTGTATGATGTTATATTAAAAACTTAATGTGCCGATTTTACTTCGCATTAAATTTCATTAACAATTAGTCTGTTCTTGTTTTTGAAAAGAAATCATATCACTTTTAATGGAAAACACTGTATAAAGAATTTCTAACCTTTAGTTAAGTTTTCCACATTAAAACAATATACTAAATTTAGCTGTTTTGATCGAGTTAATATCACATTCATATCAGCCATTTGAAGAAGTTTTTATATAATCTTTGCTGGGGCAGACGAAAAGCAATTTCTGCTTTAATTCTTTCAAATTGCAAGATAATAAAATGTGCGGTTGCACCCGAAATTAGCTTTTCTTTACTTTTTTCTATTATAAAACATTTACTAGCATTGGGTATAAAAACCTCTCACCTTTCATGCACAAAACTATAATCTTAGCCTTACCAATACTTTGCCATTTTGATAACCGCATTGACTCCGACTCAAATATAATCTATCCGAATCGGGGAGCGGCGCTTGGAGCAGCAAATTGTACAAATATTTGCAATCGTCGAGGATGAGACATAGCGCCCGCTCACGATTCGGCGTGATACAGCGTCCAAAGTTGGGTACATCAGCATACTCATTGGGAAAATAGAATTCTGTGTGTTCAAAATAAACAATAAAATTAATATCACAACAGATTTACTTGATTTCTACTTACTAAATGAATTACATACTTCATTAGTTTAGTTGGATGATGGAAAACGAGTTGTGTTTTATGAAATGCTGATAAGGTTAGCCACCACCACGATGAATATATGTATGTGTGTGTATGTTATTGTTTTTGTTTGCTTATGTTTATGTTTTGCTTCAAGTGTTTAGTATTCATATAAGAACAGAATTCTTTGAAATCCACAAATATTTCTCATTTTAAAAAACTGGTTTACTATTGAACATGGCTCATTTTCAAATAATAAATGAGTATAATTAGCCGCTGTCATTATTTTAATTTGACAGAACAACAAGATTTACGCATCTTGCATGCAAGATATGTCTAAACACAAATATGCAGATGTATGAAGGAATATATTTTTATAAATATGTGGTTTATTATATTTAATAATTTTGTGTGATGTTCTGAAGACAGTTGAATTGGTGACGCTTTAAAGTCTTTGACCTGCCCGAAAGTTCGCATCACAAACGAAAACTTCTGTCCTTGTCTTGTACTAACATTAACTGGAATATTGTCACAGTTCCATCCAATATTTCTCGATTTATACACAAGAAACGCACAGTTTATATCGCTCACGAATTGAAAAAAAAAACAAGTAAGGAAGGGCTAAGTTCGGATGTCACCGAACATTTTATACTCTCGCATGATAAAGTGATAATCGAGATTTCAGGCGTGGTTGTGAACCGATTTCACCCATATTTGGTACATGTCATCAC